ATTTTTCAGGCCAGACAGAAAAGTCCGCAACGGACCAAATGAAAATCATGGAAAAATGGTTTTGTAATTTGGCTTTCCTTACAAAGTTAGTAACTAAAGATCTACTAATTATTACATAAGGGCGCTGAAGCCTTTGGCTGACCAGACTAAATGCCGATCTTTCAATGCCACATTTAATCTCTTTTTTCTCATTTCCAAGTTCATAAGCCCTTTTTTTCTAATAAGAACTACTAAAAAACAGTTCCCACGTCTGAACTTTCTGAATTCCACCAGATGAGGATCACGATAACAGATTTAATAAGTCCGGTTACTTTTCAAAGCAAACTAAGTCGTTTGAAGCCTCACCAAAACAGTCTAAATTGGGGGGCACACGTGATCTCCGCGTGAATGAGCTTAGAAAAAGTAGGCTTACGGTGTATTGGCTTCGCTCTTTCCTCCAACTCCGCGTTTGAAATGGCGAGATTGGTTTAATATGACTAATGATGGGAGTGTGTCGGGAGGTGATTAGACGTTCATACGTTTCTCTCGTTTGCCATAAACATGCTCGTTCCTGTGTCAGAACGAACTACATTTTACGTACTGTTGTTATACTCATCAGATTAAATGCAAAGTTCAAGTTAGGAAGGAGCGATTGAATAAAAGTTCTCAGTCTCAAGCTTGAAGTCTCGGTGACATGAGTTCTGAAGAGCTTATAGCTCGCTCTAGGCATTAACTGGCGCGAGTAGTTGACAGGCAGTCACCGCGCACTGCCGGATACGACTGCTCTCCGGCTTTGTTATGCAGGCCATCTATCTGCCACTTGAGTCACAACTTGCTTCTAGTCATCCGAACAAGGCCTTTGAATTGTTATTGGGTAACGTACCAGTGTGCGGCCCTCGAGCACTCGTCGTTTAACGTCTCACGCTCTGCCTACTGTTATCATCCGAGCAGGCCTGTGTTTTTTCACGGGTTTCACTTGCTCAGGTTGGGTTGTTTCGCTGCCAGTGTTGGTTGACGATCGACCAGGCTAGGTTGCAGCGCACTTTCGTCTGTCATCCTCTCTGGTCTCTGCTTCAACGGAGATCTACTGTTCCTTGTGAAGCCCTGCCAACAAGTACCGATCCGCCGAGCTGTACCCGCGGTATGATCTCCCATTCCTTACGCGTACCTTAGCAAAAAAGAAAGACATGAAGTTTGGTATGCATTGTATTGACATAGTGGAAAAACGTCACTAAAAGGGGTTTTTCACTGCCCGGAATTACCACATCCCCCTCGAGTTGTTTCCCCATTGGAGGGCACTGTCCGCAGCCTACCGGCTTCACATCTTCCCTTCACTGTCTCCTTTGTCGGCGTCCGTTCGTTGTTTCGGTGGGCACTGGGGGATCCCCTTTACGTCCGTGCCCACCGGATACGCGTCAGCAATATGGTGGAGGAAGGGGTTCCAGCTTTCGGCCGAGTTATCCACCTGCAAGGTTTCCTTGATAACGGCCTGAAATGAAACAGAACCCAACCACAGTTGTCAGTTCTCATATGCGGAGTCATAACTTTGTTAAGCAAATACAACGCTTCCCACCTAATACAAGTTTATTTGATTCCTGCTGCATTTAAGGAAAAAAAATTATCTTTTCTGTGCTAAATTCCCACTTTGTTGTAATCTTTTCGATTTCCGACATTCTTGGAGATAAAAATAAAACTTCTATGTGGATCACGGCTTCTCCTAAACTGTTGCTGCACTGCTCCAAAGTAGCCAAGTTCGTGTTGCCAGTCCTTTATCTTGTCAAGCAAGCTTTATCTACCTACGATGAGGACTGCTTCGTTAAAGTCTTTCGGACGCTTGTACGACCACAGCTAGAGCTCGATATTCAAAAGTGGAATCCCAGCATCTCTACTGACCCCAACATGCTTAAGAAAGTTCAAAGGCGGGCAACCAAACTCGTTAGTGGACAGGGTCCACTACCGTACGAAACATGACTATCAAATCTCGGCTTTTTCCACTGAGTTACAGACAGCTAAGAGGCGACCTTATACAAACATTCAGTTTAATGCGCGGCCAGGACTGCTGTCCCTTACCTGCTGATTTCTTTGAGTTAGCAACCACAACGAACCTCCGAGGTCATCCACTTACACTATGTGTGACTAGCGCCAGGCTGGACATGCGGAAGTTCTTCTTTTCAAACTGAGTGGTCGAGGCTTGGAATGCTCTGACCGCAGATGTCGCCATGTCCACCTCCGTCGAGACTTTTGAGCGCAATTTGGACCAGTATACCACTAAACGTCATGATGTCACCTGTTCCATATCGTCTTAGCATTTCGTTCGAACAGTTTACTAATATTATTATATTACTGCCTGTATTTCAGTAACGTCCGTTTTAATATAATTCCAAGTCCTTTGAATGGGAGTGTGGGGTTTCAATTTGTCTCCCTCAGGCACTGAGATGGCACCAATTATGCATAGACTAACTACTGTACAGTGCACTTAGTAATATTAACGATTTAACACTTGGAAAAATTCGTTTATCTGACTGGTTTTGAAAACTTTGTCAATCTGAAGAAAAACACCTGTAGCCGTTTGATGTTTCCACTTTCAACTTTCTGATATAATTCGCTTCCTTGTTACAAACAGGGAGTCCAAATTTTCAACGCCAATGTTTCCCTCAAATAAACGGAAACTGAAAAAAATTCCTGCTTATTCCTAGTGTACTGGATTTATGGCATTTTTCGCAATAAAGATTAAATTTCCCGTTTTAAAT